TTCCACAGAGGATGATTGAAATGGATAGGCTGGGCAGGAACCTCTCTTGTTGTAACATTTTTGGTGATCAGAAATTTATTTTAAGGGCTCTTAACAGTTTCTCTTGGTTTAGGTGAGGAACAATCCCCCATGTTGGTGTTACTGTTGTTATATTTTTATGTGAATCATAGACTCTTCTTTTGGGGCTGAATTCCATCTTGGAACTGGAAGTGGTCATAAAGGAAACACAATCCCACAAATTAAATCCCACATGAGTTGATGGATGTAATCAGGATTACTATACAAGGGAAGATCAGGCTTGCCCTTACAATTTAGAAGGGGAGAGGGAGAGGAGTCCTTCAAGTTCAAAAAGTCCTATTGTCATAATTGTCCAGTTGCTCAGAAGTACAGTTGTCACTTACCCTATGGTTCAAACCCATGTGATAAAAAGGGAGTCTTGTTCTGCCAAAAAACTTGCATTAGGAAAATGAAACCATCTAAGTGTTAACTTGCTTTAATACAATTGGGGCTACTTCTTAGTACTGCACACTTGCTGGTGTATGTGCATGTATTCTGAAGAGGTTGCCATACTCTGATTGAACTGCAGCCCTCCACACTGCTCTTGTCTCTCCAAGTCCCTTCCCAGTTTGGCTCTTTATCTTCCTGGTTGCCCTACAGTGTTTGCACCATCTTCAAATTTTGATAGACAATTAAGTCCTGAAGCCAGGAAGGGGCGAGAAGTGCTTGGTTGAATATTAGCTGCATTATGGAAATTGCTCTGGGGTGTAACAGTGGTCCATAGACTGAGATTTATGAAACATTGGCTGAAGGTTGTATAGCCAGGATTCTCAGAAGGGAATAAAAGGAATTCTGACAATAGAGAGTTTGAATCAGACGAATGCTTGGTTCTCTGTCCTAATTTGCCATCAAAGACAGGTCTTGGGAGCAGCACTTCTCAATTATGTGCATCCTCTGTTGTTACAACATGCAGGTAAATGGTTTTGTCCTTGCTCTTTCCTTGCCTGTGGAAGAAAGGAGGAAAAGAACATGATATTGTGCAAGCTGCAATGTTTCCCAAGGCTTGTCCAAATTCTTTCCAAACTAGATCCCTGCTGCAAAGCTTGCGGCTGAGGACTATGAAAATGGGAAGTGTGGGATGTCCTTAACAATTGTCAGTTCTACCCATTCTACCAATAATTTCAAAGAAATGCTGTGACTGTCTTGTATTCATCCTGGCATATAAATAGTTTCTTGTAGGGACAGAAGTACCACATATCTCTTCATTCTTTCTTTTTTTTCTTTCTCCATACTCCACAGCCATGTCTAATTGATATACAGACACATTTGCAGCTGATACAAAAAATCAGCATGGGATGATTGATGTCAATGGAGCAAAATTTATTTCACACCATTTGAGGGAATTAATCCATGGTATTCTTAAGTTTTAATAGCCTCTCATTCTCCCATATGCAGACAGGACAATGCTTGACACGCAAGAGGGAAAAGTTTTCCCAAAATGCCTTACAAAATTCCTGCATAAGGGCAATTTTAAATGAGCAAAGCCAAGAACCTGACCTTATTTTGCAGAGTTAAAAGCTCAGCCTCAAGTGTGGTTTCTTTGACTGGGTTCTGAGCTTGCAATATATCTCACCAACAGTCTTTTCTTTTTGTTTTGGAATAATGGCTTCACATCTTTTATGTAACTTGCCATGCTGCAGTAGAAAAGGGGAATCAACTACCCAAAATAACCATGCTCTTTGGAAGGTCACTTCTCTACTACAAAGGCACCACACTGAAATGAAGTCATTGGGTTCAAAAGTCACCTTTAACTCTTCACTATTCCCCTTTTTGCCCATGACAGCTGGTATTGTTCTGCCAGTGAAACCTTCATTCTGTACACTTAGAGACTAAAGCTGGGAGCAGCCTCCCAGTAGGTGAGAATTATGTGCGTCACTACACCGAACAAGTGATATCAAGGTTACAGCTTTTCAAATTCCACATAAAACAAGTTTCCTTTCAGACAACTAATTATTTTATAGAGCTTGATTAGGTCATGCCGTATAGTTCAGAGACTTTGTACTGCTAGCCAAAACACACCTAATGACCTTTCTTTCTTGTTCCAGTGTTCCTGGCAATGGAGTAGTACTGTGGTGTTTTGTCAGAGCAGCAATAACCATGCTGAAATGAACAACATGCTTAGTAGACACAAGGATGTGGCAGCTGAGAATGATCTAGACCAGTGATTCTCAATCAAGGTGTCACAGTGCACTGAGATCCTTTCATGGGTGTTGGAGGGGTGCCATATATAACATTAGTCCCGTTAGATTTGCAAACACGATTCACAAGATAAACCCATAGATTTCAAATAGAAATCCATAATTGTGGTCTTCCTGAATGCTTTGCAACAGAAAAATTTCTGTCATTTTTCTGTGTTTAACCCCCCCCCACTAATAGCTGGCATTTTCTGATGGGTGCTGTGAGTCTATCCAGAGGTGCCATGAATCTAAAAATGTTGCAGGCTCCACTGATCTAGACTATAGTTTGGATATTGGACAATTAAAACAGATTCTGTCCCTGCAGCTTTACAATACAGTATTATTGTGATTCCTGATGTGGGTTTGGTATGATTTCTCTCTTATGAGTTGCAGGTGGAAGGGAGATAGGGGAGCCTGCATAGATAGCACTGTACCTATGCATATTTTCAGCATCTTCAATGGTCTCGGGCAAAGTTTTTCCTTTGGTCTCTGGTAGGAGCAACACCAATCCACCGTCAATTAGACCAACCACAGCTTAAAAAAAAAAAAGCCAAAAGTGTTAGATTTGAAGCAGGGATGATGATGTTAATGAGCATTAAACAGATGAGGAATTATTACCTCTACTGATTATAGATTGAGTCTCAGTGGCCCCAGCTAAGTGAACACATCTTAAAGAAATACAGATTGCAGGTGGGTTTTTGTTAAGAGTTCTCATGTTTCAGGTGAGTGCTGTAGTTACCAAGGTTACTTTTCTGACATAAGAAAAGAAATTCAAAACCCAAATCTTGTATGTGCTTTGGCTCCTCACACCACTTGGAGAACCCAAAGGAGGCAGTCTGTTTCTGGAGGTATGCCTACTTTCATCCTTGACAAGCTCGGATGGGAGGGCATGTCCCAACCCCAGAAATGTGATGGTGATACCGCTCTGTCTCCAATGTGCTTACTAAGAGGCTGAGGGTGATGCCTCCAGAGCAGTTTCCCTGCTGCATTTCTGGGTTTCACAGGCTCAGGAAGGTGTGTTTGGGAACATCCTTTCCTGAGAACAGAGTGCCAAGGACATAATGTGTCTCTTAGTACTTAAGGACTCCTTTCCCATACCTAATTGATTGTCAAGCCATGTGATTTCACCTCACCTGAATCCTTTTGCCTGGAGCTGTCCAGTCTCCTCCTGCCCCAATGTCTAGGATATAAAAAATGTGTCTAGTCCATGAAAAGATATACATTTCTTACCAAAAACCACAAGTGGCAACTCATGCCAGATCTCTGCCAGTCTGTACACGATGAATGGCGTTATGATCCCACCAACGTCACACATGGAGGAGCAGACAAGTACTCCCAGATTTCTGGAAAATAAATACACCTGGCAAGTTTTCTCAACCTTAATCATATTTAAAAGGGCTCTCTAGCTATTTGCTGCTGAACAATTTTTAACAATACATGGGAAAGATTAGGCACAACATTTCTGCTAACAATGCCAGGAGGACCGCATCTAGCCTGTTGGATGTAACAATGGATATGTCTCCATCAAGATGTAGTAAGAACATAGGCATTAATCAGATGTTCAGAGGGCGGTAGGAAATGAATTTACATATATGATAAATTGGGAAGACTTGCTAACCTCAGGGAAAAGATTTAAAAATGAATACAAAGGGATTTTAAAAGACCTTATTCTTATTGGCCTACTAATCTAGAGCAACGGGGACCATTAACAACAAGAAAATAGGGGGGAGGTATCTGGAAGATCTTTCAATGAAGTGTATCAGAAAGTATCAAGTGTTCCTTCTCTGAGGATGGGAAGTCCCTGAATTTTGGGAGGTAGAAACTGAGACTAGATAAGGAATTGGAAAATATTCTGGGAGGAATAATCCTGTATTGATAGAGATGGACAAGATGTCTGTAACGTCTGCTGATCTTAATTTTATGATTCATTTCTTTAATGAGGGATTGGTTCTTGTGGTGGTTTTTTGCAGGGAGAGTCTGGAGGAGTGGGACGGTTTGTAACACATTACAGAGACCTCTCCGGCCCTTGTCCTTCCAAGAAGCGTACACTGGGCATGGAAGAGGCAGGGCCAGAGAATCTGTAACATAACTAGGGCAGGGCAAACAGAGCACCTGGCCCAGGTGTTGACTATGAGGGGGTGCGTCCCTCCAGACATATTTGCCATGGTGAGGGCAGCCCTGCACAACCCCTGCCTGTCTCTAGAAGCCCTATGTGGTCCTATGCCCCACAGTGTATCTGTGGAGCAGGAGGACAGGTGGAATGATGTTTCCCCTCCGCCAGGAGGCCTTGCCTGGCTGGCACAGCTGTGCCCCAGAGATCAGGATGGGAACAGGGCACCTGTGCTTCAGTGGTAGCAGCACAAGCTTCTGCTGTTAGGGAAGCAGCAGCTGCTGCCTTTCAAGTGAAGAGAGTGGAGACCCTGGGTCCCTCTCCTTCCTCCTACCCCATCCCTGTTCTCCAGCGCTCAGCATGCCCTCCCCCTACTACCCCCGCACCTATGGCCCTGTCACATGCCACCTCTACTGCTGTCCTGCACATCTGAAATTCTGTTTTTACACCCGTTTTCCAAATACAAAATCACTTTCTTTGGTCAATGCATGGACTGCAGCTTCCCCTTCCTCATCAGTGGTTTCCAGGCAGCTTCTTGTGGCCATCTCAATGTTACTTTACATTTTCTGGATCTTAAAACATTTTCCATGAACATTCTGCTCCACCTGTCCATGTAGTGTTTGCTAGGCTAACGGATGTCTTATTCAACATTAAATATTTTATTTTTAAATTGAATTCCTTTTGTCTGATAGATACTCCCACTTTTATGCATCACTGAATTGAATGTTGTGGCTCTAACATGGCCCTGTTATATCTTGGACTGAGCAAGTAGAGACCCCTTGCATTTGTACATTTAATCTTCTCTACTGTCTAAGTGTAGGATGGGCAAACGTACCTGAGAAATGTTGGGTACAATTCAGGATTTACTAG